AGCCAATGTCACACTAGCCTTTCAACTATATACTTATTTATAATAGTCATCTTATAGATCTGCTGGTCCTACCTGCCTTTATTTCCATTCTGTTCTCTGCCCCCCAAAACCTCATTTGGGGAGATTTTTAACTTTTTTGTAAAGGTTGCATGACTCTGACCTCTAGGCATAAACTGGTTTGCCCAGTGTGAAACAACTGGGGTCAGACTTTCTTTTTGGGGAATTTGGAATCAGAACCTGGTAGCACTGTTAGGGAGAAAAAATTTTACTTTACCCTTCTACGTTCTTTGGCTGACAAATTGATATAAGCCAGATTAACAGGGGAAAAACAAACAATTACAGATGTGCTGGAGCCCCATAAGAATATGAGACCCCACAGGCAGTTAAGCAGTTGAGGTTTATATACCATCCAGAACTAAGAAGGGGGTACAGAGTCTGAGACTTCAAAGAGGAGGAAGACAAATTACAGGAAGATGGGAAGAACAAATGTTTTGGTAAACAAATGTTTGCCATACCATTCAGAGACAATGGGACACAGAGAGGAATTTGATCTCCAGACCATGCTGAGCTTACCCCCAGCTTACCACACCTGGCCCATATTCTAAATTCTTTTAGGCAGATAAGGGGAAGGTAAAGCTTTTCCAAGTCTTTGGGCCTTGATTAACTTCGGCTCAAAATAATCCACATGCCAAAGTGGCATTTGAGGGAAGGCTCATTCTGAGCCCCTTCAGGACTAAGCTCTGATAGTAATTTCTTAGGCAGTGGGGTATAAATGATTCCTGTGGGAGAGTTCACAGCCTTCCCTCAACCCACTCAGTCTATTGAAGAGGATCCCAATTCTCACATGTTATGATAAAGGCCAATGTTTAGAATCTTAGAACAATTACAACCTCATAATAGCGATTATACAGGCCATTATTATCTAATATTTTTAATGGCTTTGACCTCCTGCTATTTGTATATTCTCTCATCTTGAATCTTATTTTCCCCATTTGGCCACATTTAATTTTATGTGTTAGAATTCTTCTATTCTCTCTAGAACATAAAGCACCATGAGAGCAAGGATTTTGTCTTGTTCACTACTTCGTTCCCAGTGCCTGCAGCCATGCCAGGCATAGAGCAGATGTTCAATAATTATTGATTGACTGTGAGTGAGTGCATGAATGCATGAATGAAGCAATGGAGAGAAGTGGACATGACAGAGTGCAAGAGAAGAGAAATTGGTAAGACTGGGGCTTGGGGGCATTGTGGAGAGAGAGCAGCTGGAGATGTAAAGAAAACAGGCAGGAGAGGAGTGGGAATTTTAATAAGTATTGCTGAGGGCAGTGCTATGTACTATGATCCTTGTTACCCCTTTTTAAAAATTCAAGTAAATTTTTTTCTTAACTTACTGAGCTATATTTCTTCTACTGATCCATTTTTTAAAAAAATTGACCAAATGAATTCCATATCAACTAGTGAAACTCTTACCTGGTTTTCATGACTTATTCATATGTCACTTGATTCATTTTGTTATTCACTATTTTGGAGGCATATATCATGTGTTAAGTGCTATTGGTTCCAGGGAAAAAAACATGAATAATATTATATTCCTGAACTCAATTAGGGCAATGATATAAGTAAACTAGTAGTATAGATCAAAACCTTTGTGGGAGCACAGAGGATGGGTCACAAACTTAGTAGGGTGTGAGAGTGTCGTGGATCAGCTTCTTAGTGGTAGCAACCTTTGCAGTCATGGATGTATGAAAGAAGTTGCTAACTTCAAGAAAGCATTTGGGTGTGGCTAGATAACAATGTATATGTATGGACAGTTAGAAAAAGAGGCTGGATTGCTGTTAGATTTTTAAGTAGGAGAATAGAAATTCCATCTTTGTATTACACTCTGGGAGAAGAATAAAGAATGAATCAGAACAATGTTTCTCAAAGTGTGGACCCAGATATCAGCATCAGCATCACCTGGGAACTTTTTAGGAATGCAGATAATCAGGCCCCACCCAAGACCTTCTGATTCAGAAACTCTGGGGAGTGGGGTCCAGCAATTTGTATCGAACAAGCCCTCCAGGTGATTTTGCTGCATACTAAAGTTTGAGAACCACTGAGTGAGCATGAGGGTGAGAGGGTGAGACTCTAAGCAGGAAGGCCTGATAGGAACTTACAATATCCCTGGCGAGAAACAGTGAGGTCATCAACTACAGTGTTGGTTATGGTATTAGAGAGGCAGGCATAGACAGATTCAAATAAATGTTTCAGATGGTCAGATAAGTCAGCATGGTAGGGGAACCAAGTAAGAAGATATAAGGAGGGAGGGAGAGAGAGAGAGAGAGAGAGACTTTGATAGAGGAGGTAACAATGACCTGTGACTTGAAATGGATCAGATAGATAGAATGAGATGGAGTGGGGAGAAAGCCAAGCAAAAATTTAGTAACCAGTCACTGCAAGAACTTCACAGTATCTCTTGCTGTAACTCCACATCATCTCTGGTCATTCTCTGGCATTCTGCCTAACAAAGATACCCCAAATGATGCCCCTGTCTCATCTCACAAGCCAACAGAAACCCCAAGCTTCAGAACTAAATAGCTGCCCAGCAGCCCTATACCCTATAGCTAAAGAATCTGAACTCTAATCATTCATCATAGTGATCCATAGATTCTGAACTCTAAATAATTATTCACCATAGTGTTGAGTTGTTTGCCAATTCAACAGCCATTACCCCTCTTCCTATTGTCAGCAAATTAATTTTGTTCTGGGTGACCATGTGCCCAGCCCTTAGGGTATGAATTATGATGGGATAAGTCAACCATACTTATAGCTTTCCTTTTTCTCTGAGCAGGTGACCTAGTTCTAGCCAAGAAATGGAAGGGTAGTTAAGTCTGCTGGGGGCTCCTGGAAAAGATGTTTCTCCTTGTTAAGAGAGTAAAATACCCTTTTGTCCCACCTCTGCTTTACACTTTGGGTGCTGTTATGTGAAGGATTGGCACTTGAGCAAAAGGACAAACTTGAGAGTGGAAGGCAATGAGTATGGGATGGCAGAGCAGAGAGATTAAAAAGAGCTTGTTCTGAGCCAAATTTGGACTAGCCTATGTCTTGTCTTTAAACCACTCCTGTTCGTAGTTACTTACAGCCAAAAGCATTCCTAATTGATTACTCATTCTTCTCTAGCAAACTACCGGAACTAACCTTGGTATGTCTCTCAGCTCTGTTTACTCCAGGCGTCTAGATTTTTTGGCCTCATTTGGAAATCTGATATCCATTCTGCTTTGTAAATCCCTTAATCTGGCCCTATCCCTTCCCACACTCCCTAACTTTACGTCTGTGTCCTATGAATTCCAACTTCTGTGAACTGCAAACTCCCTGTACTCTCAACTGCTTCATCTCCTTGTTCCAGCTGATAGTTATCCCTCATGCTCTGTTTCTTCTGTAGAATTCTCTAGTAGAGGCCAGTTATTTTTGCTCTCATACAGACATTCCAGAGGGCCTGTCGTGTCAGTGTCTTCCTCGTCCTCTGTTGGCATTTCCACTAATTCCTTTTTTTTCCCCTAACAAAATCACAGCTCTTTGAAGTATATATAGTAGATGGCCTCAGACTTTACCACCTATTTCTACCCTTAGTTGTCATCTTGAATCAAATTCTAGGATACCCCTTCACATTTTTTGATAACTTTTGGCCTCTGGCTCATTCTTCTCTCAACCATTTTCCCTATTGTTATTCTTGGTGACTTCAACATATTTCTAGATGTCTATCCTACACTTGGGCCCATTATTTCTTAGACTCCTCAAATCCAATGATCTTGTCCCCCATCGTACTCAGCTATAACTGTGAGAAGAGAAACAATCAATGGGACTCGGCCAGAAGAGCTCTAGATTCCTAAATCCAGCCCTCGCTTAAACTATATCATGATGCCTTCACAGTCAGTATTTATGGGGGCATCAACTCTAACGTCTCTGCATTCAATAATGGCAGACTCTAGTAAAGATAACTGGGCGCAAGTTGTTTTGTTATTGTCTGAAGGTCAAGATATTCTGGGGTAAAGTATCATTGAAGAAAAATCAATAGCAGCCTTCATAAATGTCAGCATAAAATGCTATTCAAAACAAGTATAAAAGGTTAATGATATTTTGAGTGTTTCAAAATACATTATCAGATTAAATAGAAGCTACAATGACATGTTGTTCCCCATGAAGAGACAAAATAATTAGCTAAAGCTATTTAAATATCTGATAAATATATAAAAAAAAGATTCAATTAATGAAGAAAGCATGTGTGTCGGGTTATGTGCTCAAAACACACCCGTATACCCCAGCAGAGTGGGTCCTTTTCATATCTGTGAGTATTCAGTGCAATCATCAAAGTTGTCATTGAGCATTTAAATCAGGAGAGGTCAGGAAGGGGCAGAGCATATCTAGTAAGAATCTGTGGTAAAATGCTATTTTATGGAGACATTGATGGAGTCATAAGTTTTCTGAGCAGTTAGGCGAATGCCCAGAAGACAAGTTCAGATATGCCAGGGCATCTTGAGGCAAAGGCTTAATACTGATCTTGGGTTATGGTGTCTCTTTGGTAACCATGGTGAGGCTGGATGAACTTAAACACTGCATGTTGGAAATTTCTTAAGAATAAGTCAATAATGAATCTCTTGCCGGTAAAATTGGGCCGAAATACTTCAAAGTCAGATTTGGAAATCTATGCTTTAAGATTTCAGGGTTACAGAAGTTTCAAGCTAGAGTTGATTAAAGAAAAAAACTTCACAGGCCCTCATTTCAGGAAAAAAAAAAGATATTCTACAACCAATAGAAAGGCTAGTGTGTCTTTTAAGCAACTCGTATTTCTTAATGGGATCAAATAACTGAAATCCACTGATTTCTCAAAATTATTATTGTATCCAAGGGTTACAAGCAAAATTCTGCTTAGAGATGAACAGGATATGTCCAGTTTCTATGAATGAGATCATGATTAATCATTCTAACATGTCAGATTCTTTTAATAAGGATAAATGTATTACCTCACCTCGGTATTCTTCAACAACCGATGTGTCAAAATCTTTTGAACTTCCTGGGTCAGGAAAGAAACCCCTCTGTTCTCAAGTACCCACTGCAGAGTAGGGCATAAGAGAATCAGAAGTCCCCGCTATACCTTTTAATATCCAAGATGGTGGCTTCTGCAGAAGGGAAAAAGACATCCCTTATTCTCTGTAGTGCCTTTATCATGGTTCATATTCTGCTATTCTTTTCCAAGTCTAGTCCTTCCAGAGTAGCTCTCTAGTGCTAACTGCATAGACTATGGTAGTTAATGACTTCTATATTGACTACAGAAAGGATAAGCTATATCTCTGAAAATTAGAACTTACATGGGATTTGGGTGATACAGATTTCCATTTATTACTTCCCTATCTTTTATTTCAAGGAGAGGATTTAACTTTGGTTCCTGTACCAAGTAAACCATTATTTAGAACTGAGGACAATGCAGAATATAAAATGATAGTGGAGAGTGAGGGGGTGAGCATATCCTAAATGCTAGAGGAAAAATAAATCTTAGAGAATCTAGTAACTATCTTATTCTCTTGTTATAGGACAAAGTATTTAAAAGACTTTTATTTCAAAAAAAAAAAAAAACCAACCTGATTCACAATTAAAAATAGCACTCATTCTATTCTATTACATACATTTCATTACAGTTCATTTTCTTATATTATAAGACCCAACTGAAAATAAGTCAGGGTAAAGGGTAAAACCCAGTGGCTGTGTATTTCCCAGGCAAAGTACTTTATTCTTTTAGGAAATGCCTAACATACATGCAATCAATATCTTGGGTAGTGAATGATGGATTTGGTCAGTTTTCTTAGGCGTCTAACATCCCCCAAACAGCTTGATTCTACCTCAGCCCCAGGAATGTAGGTTGTGCAGGGAGACATGTGAAGAGTGGCCATGTTAATACAGAGGGGAATTGTTTCAATTTATTCCCACTTAGCCATGCCTGGGAAAGTTAACTTGTTCAACTTTGTGGAAAAAATGGTACAGAAAATGTATTTGTTGCCATTTGAGATAAAGGTAAAAAGAACAAGCATAAAGTGATTTATAGACAATGATGGACATTTGTGATATAAGCATTTAAAACTGTATGCAGGATTAGATTACTTCTTTAGATAAAGTGACATGTGTTCAAGATACTTTCATGGCTGCGGAAGGCATAATGCAGAAGGAATAAATGTGTCTATCTGTATGTTAGTGATAGTATGTGAGGGTGGGATGGGATACGGAATTTAGGAAAAGCACTATCAGCCAAATAATCATGAGCTGGGAAAAAAAAAAAAATCCAAAGCAAATTATTCTGAGTATGTGTCATAGAAAACCACTACACCCACTATGACAGGAATACTTCAGACTGAAAAAAAAGAAGAAATCTCATGATCTGCTAAACTAGGAAGAATTCATCCACTACTATTCCACATTTGCTTCCTTTTTCACAATAAGTAGCCATGGAAAAAATTGTTAGAAAGCCAAAAAACAATTTAAGTAAAAGAGCAGTATTTGTTAGATTCACCTCAAAAGGATATAGCTTACCCAAACTTCAGTTAAAATGACACTTTTCTGAAAGACAAAACTCCTGCATGAATTGAAAAACCAGCAACTTAAATTTGTTGTTTGCTTGATTTATTTAAAAGTGTCATAAAAGGGGCAACTGGATGGCTCAGTTAAGCATCTGATTCTTGATTTCAGCTCAGGTCATGATCTTAGGGTCTTGAGATAGAGCCCTGTGTGGCGCTCTGCGTTGAGTGTGGAGCCTGCTTGAGATTCTCTCTCTCCCCTTCTCTCTCTCCAAAAAAAAAAAAAAAAAAATTTCATAAAATGTATCCCTTCATAACGAAAAGCTGTCTTGTCAGAAACAGCTTTTATTATTGTTTGAGGCTTTATCTGTGGAGACAACGCCCCCTGCTGTGACAAATGCTCAACTGCAGATGGAATTTTTTTGTTCTCTAAGGGAAAGGCTATGAAGAATAAAGGTACAATTGCAGAGGTGAAAGAGACTTTATTTTGAATATACGTATCATTCATTCAGTTTCATTTTTATAGTGCATAGCTATATATGGAAGTATATAGGGAAAAATAAACATTAGAAATATCTAAGGATGGAAGTATATAGGCAAAGAAGACTTTTGATATATACCCTTGAACAGGTTTAGAAGCATCATACAACAGTATCCATTAGAAAATAAGTTCATGCAAAAAAAAAAAAATCTATCCAAACCATGGTAGGCAAGTGCAATCAGTACAAGTGATAGTTTCTTGGGTACAAAAAGTATACATGTTCTTTGGATTGAAAACATAAATGAATGGCTTGACTTTTATGTCCAAGCCAGAAATCATCTACAGAAGTAAAAAGCGGATGCCACATGTGACAATAAAGTATTTAAGGCCACAGATAGAGGTCAACAGCTTACAAAGAGAATGCTGTGAGGTAAGGCAAGTTAAAAAAAAAAAAAAAGAGAGAGAAATGCAATAAAGCTACCTCTGCCTAAATGAGAAAAGAGCAAAGGCATTAGAATGATAACAGCTCTCTGTAGTCTGCTGCGTTTCTCTTTTCTTTGTCAAAAGAATTCACCTAGTATCACTACAAAGTTCAGTGAATAAGATAAGGCAATAAACGCAGAGCCTTGGCATTAGGGCAAGTTTAATTTCCTTTCATTTTACACAAGAGCGGAAGAAGAATATAGAACTAGCAGTGTGCATCTTTCCATTTCAGCACACTAATTTTTAAGTGTTCATATATATATATACTTTTTGTTTGGCACAGGGGGATGGGCATATGAAGATTAATTAAACCCAAGCTTCCACCTCCAAGATTTTACATGTGGAAAGCTAAGGAAAGATAAAATTCTTTACTGTTTTAAAAATCAAATGCTTAAAGCAGGTTTTAAAAATTGAGATGAAAAAAATTGATAAGGAAAAACAGCAAAGAAAGATACTGAACAAAATCTCCTGGTTTCCTTTACAGTTTCTTTTTTTCCATTTATTTTTCCAAATTGCATTTTACAGTAGAAATGCAGACCATTTAGGATAGCTATGGCTCAATATTGCTTGGTACTTTCCTCTTAAGACATCATCTTCTTACACTCCACTGAACAGAAAACCATCCCTTCTACTGGCATGAACTTCTGCCCAATGAGACACTTGCTGCAGCACGAACACAAAAAGCACTCTGTGGACGCATGCCAGCTGAAATTGTTGTAGGTCACCCGCTGCACTTCAGGGTCAATGGCATTGTGGCATCCTTGACATACCTGTTAAGTCGATTACACAAATAAGAGAAGAGGATGAGAGATCAAACTGTGATGGTAATATTTTCATGTTAGAACAAACAATACCTTTCTTTCAGATGGTAAATTAAACTGAGAATGGCCACTTCAAAAATATGTAACTGAGAGTGACCTTCCAGTTAATCCTTTTAGGCAACCACTGTTAATGGGCGTCTATAGGCTGAGCACTATGAGAAATAACAGGTGAAGACCGAAAAGGTGATTTGGTGCTTATAGGATACCCCCATGGTGTTTGAAGCAGAAAGTCTTGGATGGCAAGTTTCAAAGCAGTTTCATTCCAGTGTATTCTATTTTAGTAATTATAAAGAAGTTTTATGATTTTTCCTATAATACCAAATGCTGGTGAAGATGTGGAACAACAGGAACTCTCATTCATTATTGGTGGGAATGCAAAGTGTATAGCCACTTTGGGAGATCGTTTAGCAGTTTCTTAGAAAACTAAACATACTTTCATCATATAATCCAAAATTGTGCTCCTTGGTATTTACCTAAAGGAGCTGAAAACTTATGCCCACAAAAACTTGCACATTGTTATTCAGAGAATCCTTATTCATAACTGCCAAAATTTGGAAGCAACCAAGATATCCGTCAGCTAGTAAAGGGATCCATACACTGTGGTACATCCAGACAATGGAATATTAACCAGTGCTAAAAAAATGATAGGAGCTATCAAACCATGAAAAGACATGGAGGAACTTTAAATGCACATTGCTAAGAGAAAGAAGCCAATCTAAAAAAGCAACATACTGTATGATTCCAACTATATGACATTCTGGCAAAGGCAAAACTATGGAGAAAATAAAAAGATTAGTGTTGCCAGTGGTGGGATAGGGAGGTGGGAGAGAGGAATGGGTAGAGAACAGAGGACATTTAGGGCAGTGAAAATATTCTCTAAAATATTATAATGATGGGTATATGTCATTTGCCCATTCTATACCTTTGTCCAGACCCACAGAATGTGCAACACCAAGAATGATCCCTGAGGTGAACTATGTACTTCGGGTGATTATGATATGTGGATGTAGATTAATCTTTGGTAAAAAATGTAGCATTCAGGTGAGTGAGGTTATATATGTGTAAGTGTAGGGGTTATATGGGAAATTGCTGTGTCTTCCTCTCAATTTTGTTGTAAACCTAATATTGCTCTTAAAAAATAGTCTTCAAAAAGATTTTTCCTCACTCATTAAAGCTTTGAAGTAGTAATTTTACTAGTCTTACCTCTGACACATGAGATTATTAACATCACTAATTTCTAGACAGTATGAAATGAAAATCATGTTCAAAATAATTAAGGACTCAATTAAAAATACTGACAGTGTTTGAGAATAATTAGTTTGCACTAAAAATATAACTTGTAGTTAACTGGCTTCTGTTCTAAGTCATAATTTATGTATAATCTAATATTGTAAAACATTAATACTTTATTCTCTGTGGAATTCAGTGTATGTTATGTACAAATAAGTATATGGCACACACTCACATCCACAAACACACACGGTTTTCTTCTTTAGCTGAACAGGTATATAAAGAAAATAAGTGAATAATCCTCAATATTTTAGCAAAAAACAAAACTACCCTATCAAGACTCCTAAAACACTAGACAGTCCACAGGTCTTCTTGTTTGTGCATATTCTGAATGAATGTGACTATCTAAAGTTTTTAAGTATTTAATAATAAGTAGATAAAGCAACAAATTGACCTGGATAGGTCATTCAGCCTGAGCATCCCTACTTGAAAAGACCTTAAAATGTGGCTGCTATTCAGTGGGGAAACTGGTTTAGGATGTGAAGTGTGAAGTGAGTCCTTGTTACAAATATCTACTTCAAACATGCAACATACTTTCTATGCTTTTTTTTTCTTTTTTAGATTTTATTTATGTTTGAGAGAGAGAGAGAAAGAGAGAGGCAGAGGGAGAGAGAGAGAATATTGAGTAGGCTCCATGCCCAGCGCAGAGCTGAGGCCGAGGTGGGCTCAATCTCACGACCCTGAGATCATGACCTGAGCCGAAATCAAGAGTTGGACACTTAACCTACTGAGCCACCCAGGCACCCCAACTTTCCATACTTTTTAGAGCTACATGGCTTCTAATTACAGAGATTATAGCTGCTTAATTCCCATGTTATGTCTACCTAGTGTTTCCCGAGAAGCAAGGGAGATATTCTCTTTCCATGATAAATGCACCACTATTTCTGAATACAACAAAAATGGGTGTTT